CTTATTGATTTTGGAATGCTTCCCTCTAACTGATTACCAACGACACCAAAAACTTCAAGCAAATGAAGTTGATGACACATTTCTTTTAGCAAATTACCCTTTAGATGATTGAAATCAAGGATAATGTGTCTTAAAGAAGGCATGTTCCACAGAAATGAAGGAATTTTGCCTACAAATAATACATGGAAATTTGGTAATTAGAGGCTTATAATTAATAAAAATATTTTAGTTTTCATTGGACGGTAATTTTTTTTTTTACTTGGCAGTGTGGCAAGCATGTTTCTAATAAATTCACACGTACACAAGCATTAGCAATGTAAATAAGACATGGAATTTTGTTAGTTAGAGGCTTAAAATTAATAGAAAATAATTTAGTTTTTGTTGGACGGCAGTTTAAACGAACTCTTCAAATATCAATGCCAATTGGACATTAAATTTCTTTTGAAGAAGAATTGTTGAAGGGAGACTATGGAATAATCTCACCTATCTAAAATCAACATCCAAATTATTTATATTTTATATTAAATTTATTTGATATTTAGAAGGTCCTAATTTTAAAATCTAAGGATGAATTGCGAAGAAAAAGGCTAAAATTTTAGTTCATTTGAGAACTAAAATACTTCCAGTTTTACATTTTGGAGATAATATGGTATAACTAATAACTGGACCTTTGTACAAGTCTTGAGTGTAACAACACAACTTTTCCTAATGTAAAATGAATTACGTTAACAATATCAGTTATACTAGAATTTTTACTCCTCTCGCAATTTCAATTAAAAATTTTAAAAGTATAAAATTAAGGGAGATGATCGAATTTCGCCTGTTTCAATTTTAAAGATGATATATATATATATATATATATATATATATATATCGATAAGAGAATTGGATGTATCATAAAATCTTTTAAGGACAAATCCTTCATCAAATAAAAGGAGAGAAAAAAGATAAACTCCTTTTTATGAACAAACCCACGCCACCCTGGCATTATAAATGCTTGCTTGTTGGCAGTAAAACTAGTTTGGTCAACAACATTATTTAGATATCTCTGACTTGACATAATTAATCAACAGGCTGTTTAAAAAGCAATGGAATACTTTATAAAAACAAACAGCAAACACATATTTATAATGATCCAAAATTATATTTTATTTTCCTTTTTAAGGACTTTTTTGTTAGTTTTATCTCATGGAAAATGCTTACTCATCAAACTTAAGTGATGACTGCAATTAAATATTGACAAAGGATGCTTCCATTTTAATTATTTAAAAAATAATTAAAAAACTCCTGGGTTTTGTAATTCGCTGCCCCTTCCTGTTCTCTCTTCTTCCTCCCTTTACGGCTTCACACCGAACTCCCTTCCTCCTATCTTCTCCATTTCAGAAACTCCAGCCCCCCTCCCTCTGTTCTTCATCAAACCCTCTTCATCCAAACCAATTTTTTTTAGCTGAATTTCTCTTACTGAATGTTCATTAGTGCCTCTTTTTTAAGGTAGATGAAGAAGGTCCGCTGCAAAAGCAGTGGGCTCACGATGTCGGCATAAGATGACTTACACGCAAGACATGGTTACCTTCTTATCTTCTTTAAGGTCGCCGTTTTCATCATCGGAGTTTTCAAAAATTGTGGATTTGGAAGGGAGACCGGAAGTTGCAGATTTTAAAATTTCTTCTTCTGGCTCTTCTTCATTCTTGCTCTAATCTTTCTAGTTGCGAAGATGTGGGGTGAGGGGCTGGAATTTCTGAATGAAAAGGATGGGACGGAGTTCGACCAGTGAAGCCGTGGAGGGAGGGAGAGAACATTGAGGAGGCAAAGGCAACACAAAAAACCCTTGATATTTTTTAAATAATTAAAATGGAAATAAAAAGCCTGACACCTGAGATTAAAATGGTATGAAATGCTATATATTGATTTGCTAGAGCACAGATGAAGTGGCACACTGGGTGCATCTAAGCATTTTTCTCCATTTTAATCTTTTTAATATAACATTTCTATTTGTGAAAATTGAAAAATTAAAATGAAAATAACTCTATTATTGCGGATGTTTTGTTAGTGTTTAATTACACATTCATCACTTAAGCATTTTCCGGGAGATGAAACCAACTGTGTTAAGCTTGAAGGACCAAAAATGCATTTTATAAACTTGAGGAGGGATCAAAATAAAACTTAATGCAAATATAAAAGACCAAATGTATATTTTAGTTTTTTTCTTTTAAAGATTTGTAATGTGAATGCAAACTTTTTGGTAAACTTCTCACGATCCTTTAAAGGGAATGAAAAAAAATAAAAGCAAAATCTCATTTAAAAATTACTTTTCATTCGAGAGTTTCAAAAACAGAAACATACACATGGTGTAAGACAATCATATAATTAAAATTATTACCTTGCAAATTGTTGTAGCTAAGATCAAGGAATTTGAGGTTTGTCAAATTTCCAATCTCACTTGGAATGATTCCTGGATAAATTATATATGGAAGCCATTTTATTGATCAAAGTATATAAATGATATGGTAGATTAATAATAAAATTTTTTGAAAAACTGTTTTACACATTTTAAATGTTCGGTGATCCCATCACTTCACGATCTTAGTTTCCCCCCTTTATTTTGGCATTGTAATAACAGGCTTGATGTAAGACACATTCTATGAATGAAGAACATGAATGAAATGACCAAAAAGAAAATCTCATTTTAGTTTTACTCTAATACAGAAAATATCTAAAAAGGAAAAAATTCATTGTTATTTTGTGATTGTAAATCACTGACTATGTTTAAGCCTCCATAATAAATATGTATAATATTAATGAAACGAAAAGATAAAATCTCATTTTAAATTTATTTTATAATTTCAATGCTTGTAAAGAGGTTGGCATTTAAATAGAAAAATAAAACAGCTCGCAATGTTTTCGTATAATATGCATAAAGTACATGTATAATGATAGGTACTCACATTTTCATAACTGTGCGAATTTTAAAAAGAAAATAAAGAAAATAATATTGTATGCATATAATATATATATATGTAATATATTCAAAAAAATTACACGTTTCTTAGTGAAAAGTTTTATGCCTTGGTTAATTTTATATAAAGAATTGAACGTACGGAACAGCTCCACTTCAGTGTGAATGACTTAAAATAATATTTACAATTTAATTATTTGTCTGACGATTTAAAACATCTTGTATATTGTGAGCTCAAAAATGATTGAACTATAGTTTATTGAATTGTATTTAAATTTCTAAATTGACTTATATATAATTATTCAAAATTGATATTTTATACTTAGTTTATTTAAATAAATTTCTTGTTCATTGCAAATTCTTCAATTCTTTAAATTATGTATGTGTGTGTAATAAATCAGGAAAAAGCCACAACTGCAAACTCTCCTGTTTTTCAATATTAAACTTATCCTATCATACAAAAATTTACAAATATTACTAACTATGGCATGCCTAAGAATAAGTCGAGAACTTTAAATATAACAAAAGAATTTCAAGTAACACTCATTCCAATTAAGAAGAGCAAAATATATAAGAAAAAAATATTTTTACATTAATTTTAACTCTTTTTAAAATTTTAGAATAAAAAATTATGAAAACCACAAATTTCCTTGGGGTGACATGATCAGTGTATTGAATAATTAATTAATTTTTATTGGCAAACATATTTAATTTGAAGTTAATGAATTTGAAAAATTAAAAACTATACCTTTTCAAAAATTTACAAATATTATCACGTTGTTTTATTTTTTTTTAATCATCTTAGCTTTCTCTATTAATTTGGATGACCAATATAATTGAAACGATGAAAAACCATATAAATAATATATGTATAACCACCAAATTGCATACCTTCCAGTAATTTCATGTGAGTTTGTTAAGTTTAACTGTAAAATTTTTGTCATTGCCAATAAATCATGTGTCGAACACAACCACATAAATAATATATGTAATTAATAGAAAATAATTTAGTTTTTGTTTGAAAGCACAACAGTTCCATTTGTTGATGATCTTGGCTTTATTTGCTATTTTGGGACTGTAGGCCCTATCATATGAATTATGAATGAACAGTACAAATGAAATGATGAAAAACAAAATCTCATTTTAGAGAAAAATAAAAAAAAACAAGAAAACGCGCAAGTATTAAGTGCGTACCTGTAAATGAGTTACCATATAAATACACTTCTTTCAAAGATGTGCAGTTGCTTATTGATTTTGGAATGTTTCCCTCCAATTGATTATCAATAACACTAAAGACTTCGATTAAAGGGAGATGATGAAACATTTTTTTGGGCAAATTACCTATAAACAAACACAAAATATTTGTTAATTAGTTGACTAGGAATTTCATGAACTCACACGTGACCTTATAAATAATGAATGGAGTTGTGTTAATTAGAGGCTTAAAATTATTAGAAAATAACTTAGTTTTTATTGGAATGCATAGATTATAGAATTAATTTCACCTATTTAAAATAAACAATCAAATTATGTGTAGCTTCCCTATAAATTATTTTATATTTACAAGGCTCTAACTTTGAATATGATAAATTCTTTATAGGCAAATTTAGTTATTCATTTAAGGAGTTAAAACACTTCCAGTTACAGATTCTGGAGATAACATAGTATAAACAATAAATGAATTTTTACCAAAGCACTGTATGCAACAACTTAATTTTTCCGAATGTAGAATTTTCACTCTCAAAGCAATTTCGATTAGAAATTCTGCAAGCAATGTAGAATAAGCATACATAATTAAAAAATTTTTTTTGTTAAAGTGTAAAGTTAAGGGATGGATAGATCAAGCTTACTTGCAAAGAGGTTGTATTTTAGATATACTTTTAAAGAAGAAATGTTGATGGAGTTGAGTGTGTAATGTTTTATCGTTTTTTTAAACTATATTTCCTTTGCATGTTAAAGACTTGCTCATTTTTTTAAAAAATTGCTAATATATAACTAAAATTATTTTTTAAAAAAAGGGATGACTCTTAAAGGATAACATACATTAGGCATGAGGCTTTGCTTTCTCAGCAGGAGCAGTGTGTGATTCGTTGAGAAATTCAGATGAGAAAATATAATGAAAACTAGTCACTGATAAGAAAAAGCAGCAGAAAATGAAAAACAAGTGGCCACGAGAGAAACATTGAACCCCAACTTAGTCTGTCTCTTTGGCCTCGCATGTTTTTCAATGATTCAATATTTGATTTCAATTTTTGACATCTTTTGTGAAAATTTTATATAAAAGAAAGCATCTCATTTTTGTTTTATCCTCCGAGAGAAAATGATCTAAAAGGAAAAATAAAAGATCATTTTGTAATTTGATCCTTTGATGCTTTGGGATTGTAAATTACCAACTATATTTTCACGGAACTAGTTTTGGTACTCATCACACTAATGAGCATTTAGATTTACTATAGATGGCGCAGAATTAATTTTTTTCATTTTTGTTTTTTTAAAGTATGTTCTTTTTATAGTTGGATAATCCAAAATAAATGTAATATTTTAACTGTAAGTTTTTTAAACATGATTTTTATTTAAAAATCATTAGTTAAAATTGACTATTAAAACTGTATCTAAATAGTATAGATTTCACCGCATAAATATTTGTTAAAGTGTTAAGTTAAAGGGCTGTATTACAGTATCCTTTCTTTTAAAGTGGAAATGTTGATGGAGTTGTGTGTGTATTACACACACACACACACATATATATGTATAGACACAGGCATACAGACATACATGCATATATATATATGGAATACATATTTGTTAAAGTGTAAAGTTAAAGGGCTGTATTGCAGTATCCTTTCTTTTAAAGTGGAAATGTTGATGGAGTTGTGTGTGTATTACATATATATATATAGATACACACACACACATATATATGTATGTGTGTGTGTGAGGAATACATATAAGATTCCATACACACACACACGCACACACACCGTTTTCAGACTATTTGGAATGTTTTATCATTTTTTTAGATTATATTTCCTTTGCATGCTAAAGACCTACTCATTTTTAAAAATAGCACTATTATATAATTAACTAAAATTATTTTTCAAAAAAGTCATGACTCCTCAATGATAATATACTGTCTTTTATGTAAGGCATGAGGTTTTTCTTTCTCAGCAGGATCAAAGAAACATTGAAACCCTACTATAAGTCCTTCTCTACGGGTTCCCATGTTTTTCACTTTCAGATATGTGCGTAAAAATCATATATAAATAATAAATAAAAATTTTGTTAACGTGCAAAGTTAAGGGATGGTTAGATCAAGCCTACTTGCAAAGGGGTTGTATTGTAGATATACTTTCTCTTAAAGAAAAAATGTTGATGGAGTTGTGTGTGTAATTTTTTATCGTTTTTTTAAACTATATTTCCTTTGCATGTTAAAGACTCGCTCGTTTTTTAAAATAACGCTAACATATAACTACAAGTATTTTTTCGTAAGAAAAAAATGATTCTTAAAGGATATCATATATTATGTCTTATGTAAGGCATGAGGCTTTGCTTTCTCAGCAGGATCAATGTGTGATTCGTTGAGAAATTCAGATGATAGGATATAATGAAAATTAGTCACCGGCAAGAAAATGCAGCCGAAAATGAAAAACAAGAGGCTACAAGAAAAACATTGAACCCCAACTAGGTCCTTTTCTTTGGCCTCGCATGTTTTTCAATGATTCAATATTTTATCTCAATTTTTGACATTTTTATGAAAATTTTATATAAAAGAAAGCATAGTGATTTTGGGATTGAGAGAAAGAATCAAGTTCTATGTCTTTAGAAGTAATCTAACAACAAAATTTGAAACAATCATATAATGAAAACTCTTACCTTTCAAGTTGCTTCTGCCAATATATAGCCACTGAAGTTTGGTCAAATTTCCAAACTCACTTGGAACGGTTCCTGGATTGAATTTGTTATCCCCCAACCTCAAGTCTGCCAATTCCTTGCATTGATGCCAAATGGAGGGCATCTTCCCTGACAAATCATTTTTATGGACATATAATCTTTCAAGTTTCGGAAGCCCAAAACACAAATTTGTTGGCAGACTGCCACTCAAATTATTGTAGTCAAGCTCAATGTGTTGTCGCATCAAACTATTAAATATAGAGGTTGGTATAGAGCTCGAAAGCTGATTATTTGAAAGGTATATCCTCTGTAGCCGTTGAAGATCACCAATCTCATTTGGAATGGCCCCTTCAAATATCAAATGATAAGCAATACGTCAATGTCAACTTTCCTACAAAATTTTGAATGCATTGTGGAATAGGAACAAATATTCTATCTACTTTTCATGATCCGTTGAAAAGAATATCGATAAAAACTGATAAGAAAGGCAGAAAGGAACCCAAAAAAATAGGGTTAAACTAAAAACCCACATGACAGAGAGGTCGGCTTTATACCCTGCTAACTAATAATAGAATAGTTTATGGCAAAACACAAATATAAACATAAAAAATAATCCAAACATACCTGACAAACTGTTATAAGACAACCATAGCTGCTCAAGTGAAGACAAGTTGGCAATTGTTTGCGGAATCGCTCCAGAAAGTTTATTGTTTGAAAGTTGTAAAACCTTCAAGTGCTTTAGACTTCCTATCTCAGGCGGAATGTTACCTTCAATGATATTAGATTTCCAATCCAAAGTTCAATTACGAGAATGAAGGATCATTGGTAAAGGGAAAAGAACGGAAAATAAAAAGAACAGAAGCCTGTATGCCCTCAAAGTTCAATATCAAGCCATCAATTTGATAACATCGATAGTTCCTATGCGGACCGTGAGTTTTTTTTTTTAAACAACTACTTGTTCATTTATGGTATTTTTATTTGTAATACGTAATATACGTAAGAAAATTATTTTTTAAATACAACCTTTTTTGAAAGAAATAATGATTAATTAATTAATATAAAAGTAAAATATAACTTAAGATGGCCCAAATCAAAACTGAATGCTCCCCTGGGGTGTAAGCCTTCGTCATGTTGAAAAACACAATCCTGCTAGACATTCCAAATGACATAATTGCAGTATTCTTTATTATTCCCATGCTAGCCCTTATGACATTTTGAGAACAAATATTCTCTTTACTTCAGTTCTGATTCGTGATTTATTGAAAAGCATATCGACAACTACATTTTGGAAAGCAAAAACAAAAACTCATAAGAAATGCGCGCAAACAAACCCAAGAAAATTGGGACACACATTGTCACGTTGTTTTATTTCTTTATCGTCTTAGCATTTTCCTCTTAACATGGATGAACAATACAAATGAAATGAAGAAAAACAAAGTCTCGTTTTAGATAATACAGGTGCCAGATGAGGATTTGGGGGGGGGGGGGGACAGAGAGATATAGTAATCAAATGACAATGAAACAGTAATAAAATGAAAATGGAACCACGTATATTGATGGTGGTCATCTTCTTGGACTGATAAAAGACGGGTAAAGTATACGATTTGTTCCTTAACATTATAAATAGTTTCAATTTGGTCCCTTAGTTTTAAAATGCATACCTTTAATCCTTTAGCCCTAAAATTGTTAGCAAAAAATGATATCATTGAGATTTTAAATGTTCATAAAATATTTTCAAATGCTAACATATAAAGTTTAATTTTCAGAACAACTATAATTGCTACAAGACATCATCATTTAAGTCTAACGATTCTAAAGCTAAAGGACAAGACATGTACTTTTGAAAGTTGAGAAACCAAATTGAAATATTTTATAAAGTTATTAGACCAAATGTATATTTTGACTGAAAGAAGATTGATGTACCATACATATATGTGATTGTATTATCAATTTATAATACCGGTTAGTACTAGTTTTCTTTTTCTTTTGATCATTTTTTTTTACATGTCAGAAGTTAACATGTACAAGAATTAAATTTAAGGATTTTAAAATATCGTTTAAAACTTGCTCAATTTGAATGAGATAATGTGGAACTAAAATTATTTTGAAAAGACCCAAACCCGTAAATTATAATATACATGATGTTGTGCCTTTTAATTGAACATAGTATAAGCGACATGAATGAATGAGATGACAAAAAACAAAATCTCATTTTTTGTTTTGGTACTCATCACGCTAATGAGCGTTCAGATTTAATATAGATGGCGCAGAATTAATTTTTTTATTTTTGTTTTTTTTTAAAATGTGACCTTTTTATAGTTGGATAATCCAAAATAAATGTAATATGTTAACTGTAAGTTTTTTAAACTTGATTTTTATTTAAAAATCATTAGTTAACAATTTTAAATCTAGACTATTAAAACCGTATCTAAATAGTATGGATTTCACCGCAGTGATGAATATCATGGTGCTCATCACTGCTATGAGCACTGAGCTAGTTCCATATTTAAATCCCCATTACGGATATGTATATGTACAATATTAATGAAATGATGGAAATGAAATCTCATTTGAAATTTGATCTGTTAGAGAAAATGATTAAAAAACAAAGAAAAGAATAAATGTTAGATATAGTACCCTATGCTTCCAAAGAGGTTGGCATCCAAATATAATCTATTACTAACAACTGCTTGTAAAGAGAATGAACGGACTTATGTGCATGAAAACTAAATAATGAATGGACTTAATAGAAGAAAAACAAAACTGGTCATGTTATTTGCATATAATATAAAATGCACATATACTTCAGCCCCAAAAAAAAGCAACAACAAAGTGTGTCTTACCAATGTTAGAAATGGAGAAAGCAAATATCCTATAACCATGACATTGCATGTACCTTCTAGCTAGTAATTGCCAATAAATCGTGTGTTGCACACGACCATATGAATAATCCATGTAATTAATAGAAAATAATTTAGGTTTTGTTGGAAAGCATAATAGTTCCATTTGTTCAAGATCTTAGCTTTATTTGTTATTTTGGGATTGTAACCACTTGCTGTATATGAGCCCTATCATATGAATTATGAACAATATGAACGAAATGATGAAAAACAAACTTTCATTTTAAAGAAAACTGTCAAAAAGAAAAGAAAACACAAAAGTAGGTGCATACCTGAAAATGAGTTAGCACCTAAATATAATTCTTTCAAAGATGTGGAGTTGCTTATTGATTTTGGAATGCTTCCCTCTAATTGATTAAAACCAACATTGAAGATTTCAAGCAAAGGGAGTTGGTGAAATATTTTTTCGGGCAAATCACCTATAAACAGATAAAAAATATTTGTTAATCAGCTGACTAGGAATTTCATGAATTCACACTTAACCATATAAATGATGAGTGGAGTTGTGTTAATTAGAGGCTTAAAATTATTGTAAAATAATTTACTTTTTAATGGAATGCAATTTAAAAGGGACTCTTCGAATATCAATGGACAATCGAACGGCAAAATTTCTTTCAAAGAAGAAATGCTAAACATTGATTATGTAATTAATCTCACCTATTTAAAATAAACAATCAAATTATTTGTAGCTTTCATATAAATTATTTAATACTTACAAGCCTCTAACTTTGAATATGATAAATTCTTGTAGGAAAATTTATTTTTCATTTTTTAAGGACTTAAAATACTTCCGGTTACACCTTTTGGAGACAATATAGTATGAATAATAAATGAATTTTTTTTTAAGCAAAGCGCTGTATACTAGAATTTTCACTCCTAAAGCAATTTCGGTTCAAATTTTTGCAGGCAATGTAGGATAAGCATAAATAAAAAATAAAAAATTTGTTAAAGTGTATAGTTAAAGAGCTGTATTGCAGTATCCTTTCTTTTAAAGTGGAAATGTTGATGGAGTTGTGCGTGTTACATATATAGAGGCGCACACACACACGTGTGTGTGTGTATATATATGGAATACATATAAGATTCCATACACACATACATGTGTGTGTGTGTATATATGGAATACATATAAGATTCCATACACACACACACGCACACACCGTTTTCAGACTATTCGGAATGTTTTATCATTTTTTTAGATTATATTTCCTTTGCATGCTAAAGATCTACTCATTTTTAAAAATAGCAATAATATATAATTAATTAAAATTATTTTTCAAAAAAGTCCTGACTCCTAAATGATAATATACTGTCTTTTATGTAAGGCACGAGGTTTTTCTTTCTCAGCAGGATCAAAGAAACATTGAAACCCTACTATAAGTCCTTCTCTACGGGCTCCCATGTTTTTCACTTTCAGATATGTGTGTAAAAATCATATATAAATAATAAAAAAATTTTTTGTTAACGTGCAAAGTTAAGGGATGGTTAGATCAAGCCTACTTGCAAAGGGGTTGTATTGTAGATATACTTTCTCTTAAAGAAGAAATGTTGATGTAATTGTGTGTGTAATTTTTTATCGTTTTTATAAACTATATTTCCTTTGCATGTTAAAGACTCGCTCGTTTTCTAAAATAACGCTAACATATAACTACAAGTATTTTTTTTTTTTACAAAAAAGACATGAATCTTAAAGGATGACATATAGTATGTCTTATGTAAGGCATGAGGCTTTGCTTTCTCAGCAGGATCAATGTGTGATTCGTTGAGAAATTCAGATGATAGGATATAATGAAAATTAGTCACCGCCAAGAAAATGCAGCAGAAAATGAAAAACAAGAGGCTACAAGAAAAACAATGAACCCCAACTAGGTCCTTCTCTTTGGCCTCGCATGTTTTTCAGTGATTCAATATATTATCTCAATTTTTGACATTTTTGTGAAAATTTTATATAAAAGAAAGCATAGTGATTTTGGGATTGAGAGAAAGAATCAAGTTCTATGTCTTTAGAAGTAATCTAACAACAAAATTTGAAACAATATTATAATGAAAACTCTTACCTTTCAAGTTGCTTCTGCCAATATATAGCCACTGAAGTTTGGTCAAATTTCCAAACTCACTTGGAACGGTTCCTGGATTGAATTTGTTATCCCCCAACCTCAAGTCTGCCAATTCCTTGCATTGATGCCAAATGGAGGGCATCTTCCCTGACAAATCATTTTTATGGACATATAATCTTTCAAGTTTCGGAAGCCCAAAACACAAATTTGTTGGCAGACTGCCACTCAAATTATTGTAGTCAAGCTCAATGTGTTGTCGCATCAAACTATTAAATATAGAGGTTGGTATAGAGCTCGAAAGCTGATTATTTGAAAGGTATATCCTCTGTAGCCGTTGAAGATCACCAATCTCATTTGGAATGGCCCCTTCAAATATCAAATGATAAGCAATACGTCAATGTCAACTTTCCTACAAAATTTTGAATGCATTGTGGAATAGGAACAAATATTCTATCTACTTTCATGATCCGTTGAAAAGAATATCGAAAAAACTGATAAGAAAGGCAGAAAGGAACCCCAAAAAATAGGGTTAAACTAAAAACCCACATGACAGAGAGGTCGGCTTTATACCCTGCTAACTAATACTCCCTCCGTTCCTTATTATAAGAGACATTTGATACTTATGGCATGTTCCTATATATAAGAGACACTTAAAAGTTGTCTCTATTTTTTTGTATTGATTTCCTATTTTACCCCTATTTATTTTGTTTCTAACTCATACTCTCTCTCCTCCCACTTCTCTTTTTTTTAATAATTTAATTGTTCTCTCTCATACTCTCTCTCCTTATTAATAGGGGCATTGTTGGAAAAAGTATTATACTTTTTACACATTAATTGTTCTCAACTAATTTTAACTATTTTTTTGATCAACGTAATTTAGTTATTTGTCTCTTATAATAAGGAACGGAGGGAGTAATAGACTAGTTTATGGCAAAACACAAATATAAACATAAAAAATAATCCAAACATACCTGACAAACTGTTATAAGACAGCCATAGCTGCTCAAGTGAAGACAAGTTGGCAATTGTTTGGGGAGTCGCTCCAGAAAGTTTATTGTTTGAAAGTTGTAAAACCTTCAAGTGCTTTAGACTTCCTATCTCAGGCGGAATGTTACCTTCAATGATATTAGATTTCCAATCCAAAGTTCAATTACGAGAATGAAGGATCATTGGTAAAGGGAAAAGAACGGAAAATAAAAAGAACAGAAGCCTGTATGCCCTCAAAGTTCAATATCAAGTCATCAATTTGATAACATCGATATTTCATATGCGGACCGTGAGTTTTTTTTTTTTTAAGAACTACTTGTTCATTTATGGTATTTTTATTTGTAATACGTAATATACGTAAGAAAATTATTTTTTAAATACAACCTTTTTTGAAAGAAATAATGATTAATTAATTAATATAAAAGTAAAATATAACTTAAGATGGCCCAAATCAAAACTGAATGCTCCCCTGGGGTGTAAGCCTTCGTCATGTTGAAAAACACAATCCTGCTAGACATTCCAAATGACATAATTGCAGTATTCTTTATTATTCCCATGCTAGCCCTTATGACATTTTGAGAACAAATATTCTCTTTACTTCAGTTCTGATTCGTGATTTATTGAAAAGCATATCGACAACTACATTTTGGAAAGCAAAAACAAAAACTCATAAGAAATGCGCGCAAACAAACCCAAGAAAATTGGGACACACATTGTCACGTTGTTTTATTTCTTTATCGTCTTAGCATTTTCCTCTTAACATGGATGAACAATACAAATGAAATGAAGAAAAACAAAGTCTCGTTTTAGATAATACAGGTGCCAGATGAGGATTTGGGGGGGGGGGGGACAGAGAGATATAGTAATCAAATGACAATGAAACAGTAATAAAATGAAAATGGAACCACGTATATTGATGGTGGTCATCTTCTTGGACTGATAAAAGACGGGTAAAGTATACGATTTGTTCCTTAACATTATAAATAGTTTCAATTTGGTCCCTTAGTTTTAAAATGCATACCTTTAATCCTTTAGCCCTAAAATTGTTAGCAAAAAATGATATCATTGAGATTTTAAATGTTCATAAAATATTTTCAAATGCTAACATATAAAGTTTAATTTTCAGAACAACTATAATTGCTACAAGACATCATCATTTAAGTCTAACGATTCTAAAGCTAAAGGACAAGACATGTACTTTTGAAAGTTGAGAAACCAAATTGAAATATTTTATAAAGTTATTAGACCAAATGTATATTTTGACTGAAAGAAGATTGATGTACCATACATATATGTGATTGTATTATCAATTTATAATACCGGTTAGTACTAGTTTTTTTTTTCTTTTGATCATTTTTTTTTACATGTCAGAAGTTAACATGTACAAGAATTAAATTTAAGGATTTTAAAATATCGTTTAAAACTTGCTCAATTTGAATGAGATAATGTGGAACTAAAATTATTTTGAAAAGACCCCGACCCTTAAATTATAATATACATGATGTTGTGCCTTTTAATTGAACAGAGTATAAGCGATATGAATGAATGAGATGACAAAAAACAAAATCTCATTTTTGTTTTATTCTCCAAGAGAAAATGATCTCAAATGAAAAATAAAAGGTCGTTTTGTGATATGATCCTTTGATGCTTTGGTATTGTAAATCACTAACTATATTTTCCCGGAACTAGTTTTGCTACTCATCACACTAATGAGCGTTCAGATTTAATATAGATGGCGCAGAATTAATTTTTTTATTTCTGTTTTTTTAAAATGTGTTCTTTTTATAGTTGGATAATCCAAAATAAATGTAATATTTTAACTGTAATTTTTTTAAATGTGATTTTTATTTAAAAATCATTAGTTAAAAATTTTAAATCTAGACTATTAAAACCGTATCTAAATAGTACGGATTTCACCATCACCATAGTGATGAATATCATGGTGCTCATTACTGCGATGAGCACTGAGCTAGTTCCATATTTAAATCCCCATTATAGATATGTATATGTACAATATTAATGAAATGATGGAAATGAAATCTCATTATAAATCCAATCTGTTTAAGAAAATGATTGAAAAACAAAGAAAAGAATAAAAGTTAGATATAGTACCCTATGCTTCCAAAGAGGTTGGCATCCAAATATAATCTATTACTAACATCTGCTTGTAAAGAGAATGAACGGACTTATGTGCATGAAAACTAAATAATGAATGGACTTAAAAGAAGAAAAACAAAACAGGTCATGTTATTTGCATATAATATAATATACACATATACTTCTGCCCAAAAAAAAAAAAAACTAAGCGTGTCTTACCAATGTTAGAATGGGAGAAAGCAAATATCCTATAACCATGACATTGCATGTACCTTCTAGCTAGTAATTGCCAATAAATCGTTTGTTACACACAACCATATGAATAATCCATGTAATTAATAGAAAATAATTTAGGTTTTGTTGGAAAGCATAATAGTTCCATTTGTTCAAGATCTTAGCTTTATTCGTTATTTTGAGATTGTAACCACTAGCTGTATATGAACCCTATCATATGAATTATGAACAATATGAACGAAATGATGAAAAACAAACTTTCATTTTAAAGAAAAATGTCAAAAAGAAAAGAAAACACAAAAGTAGTTGCATACCTGAAAATGAGTTAGCACCTAAATATAATTCTTTCAAAGATGTGGAGTTGCTTATTGATTTTGGAATACTTCCCTCTAATTGATTAAAACCAACATCGAAGATTTCAAGTAAAGGGAGATGATGAAACATTTTTTCGGGCAAATCACCTATAAACAGATAAAAAATATTTGTTAATCAGTTGACTAGGAATTTCATGAATTCACACTTAACCATATAAATGATGAGTGGTGTTGTGTTAATTAGAGGCTTGAAATTATTATAAAATATTTTAGTTTTTATTGGAATGCAATATAAAAGGGACTCTTCCAATATCAATGGACAATCGAACGGTAAAATTTCTTTCAAAGAAGAAATGCCAAAGATTGATTGTGTAATTAATTTCACCCATTTAAAATAAACAATCAAATTATTTGTAGCTTTCATATAAATTATTTAATACTTACAAGGCTCTAACCTGTAGTATGATAAATTCTTGTAGGAAAATTTAGTTTTCATTTTTTGAGGACTTAAAATACTTCCGGTTACCCCTTTTGGAGAGAATATAGTATGAATAATAAACGAATTTTTTTTACCAAAGCACTGTATACTAGAATTTTCACTCCTAAAGCAATTTCGGTTAAGATTTTTGCAGGCAATGTAGGAGAAGCATAAATAAAAAATAAAATTTTTGTTAAAGTTTAAAGTTAAAGGGCTGTATTGCAGTATCCTTTCTTTTAAAGTGGAAATGTTGATGGAGTTGTGTGTGTGTTACATATATAGACACACACACACACACATATACATGTATATATATATATATATGGAATACATATAAGATTCCACACACACGCACACGCACACGCACACACCGTTTTCAGACCATTCGGAATGTTTTATCATTTTTTTAGATTATATTTCCTTTGCATGCTAAAGACCTACTCATTTTTAAAAATAGCACTATTATATAATTAACTAAAATTAGTTTTCAAGAAAGTCATGACTCCTAAATGATAATATACTGTTTTTTATGTAAGGCATGAGGTTTTTCTTTCTCAGCAGGATCAAAGAAGCGCTGAAACCCAACTATAAGTCCTTCTCTACGGGTTCCCATGTTTTTCACTTTCAGATATGTGTGTAAAAATCGTATATCAATTATAAATAAAAATTTTGTTAACGTGCAAAGTTAAGGGATGGTTAGATCAAGCCTACTTGCAAAGGGGTTGTATTTCAGATGTACTTTCTCTTAAAGAAGAAATGTTGATGGAGTTGTGTGTGTAATTTTTTTACCGTTTTTTTAAACTCTATTTCCTTTGCATGCTAAAGACTCGCTCGTTTTTTAAAATAACGCTAACATATAACTACAAGTATTTTTTTCTTAAGAAAAAAATGATTCTTAAAGGATATCATATATTATGTCTTATGTAAGGCATGAGGCTTTGCTTTCTCAGCAGGATCAATGTGTGATTCGTTGAGAAATTCAGATGATAGGATATAATGAAAATTAGTCACCGGCAAGAAAATGCAGCCGAAAATGAAAAACAAGAGGCTACAAGAAAAACATTGAACCCCAACTAGGTCCTTTTCTTTGGCCTCGCATGTTTTTCAATGATTCAATATTTTATCTCAATTTTTGACATTTTTATGAAAATTTTATATAAAAGAAAGCATAGTGATTTTGGGATTGAGAGAAAGAATCAAGTTCTATGTCTTTAGAAGTAATCTAACAACAAAATTTGAAACAATCATATAATGAAAACTCTTACCTTTCAAGTTGCTTCTGCCAATATATAGCCACTGAAGTTTGGTCAAATTTCCAAACTCACTTGGAACGGTTCCTGGATTGAATTTGTTATCCCCCAACCTCAAGTCTGCCAATTCCTTGCATTGATGCCAATTGGAGGGCATCTTCCCTGACAAATCATTTTTATGGACATATAATCTTTCAAGTTTCGGAAGCCCAAAACACAAATTTGTTGGCAGACTGCCACTCAAATTATTGTAGTCAAGCTCAATGTGTTGTCGCATCAAACTATTAAATATAGAGGTTGGTATAGAGCTCGAAAGCTGATTATTTGAAAGGTATATCCTCTGTAGCCGTTGAAGATCACCAATCTCATTTGGAATGGCCCCTTCAAATATCAAATGATAAGCAATACGTCAATGTCAACTTTCCTACAAAATTTTGAATGCATTGTGGAATAGGAACAAATATTCTATCTACTTTTCATGATCCGTTGAAAAGAATATCGATAAAAACTGATAAGAAAGGCAGAAAGGAACCCCAAAAAATAGGGTTAAACTAAAAACCCACATGACAGAGAGGTCGGCTTTATACCCTGCTAACTAATAATAGACTAGTTTATGGCAAAACACAAATATAAACATAAAAAATAATCCAAACATACCTGACAAACTGTTATAAGACAGCCATAGCTGCTCAAGTGAAGACAAGTTGGCAATTGTTTGGGGAGTCGCTCCAGAAAGTTTATTGTTTGAAAGTTGTAAAACCTTCAAGTGCTTTAGACTTCCTATCTCAGGCGGAATGTTACCTTCAATGATATTAGATTTCCGATCCAAAGTTCAATTACGAGAATGAAGGATCATTTGTAAAGGGAAAGGACGGAAAATAAAAAGAACTGAAGCCTGTATGCCCTCAAAGTTCAATATCAAGTCATCAATTTGATAACATCGATATTTCATATGCGGACCGTGAGTTTTTTTTTTTTTTTTAAGCAACGACTTGTTCATTTATGGTATTTTTATTTGTAATACTTAATATACGTAAGAAAAATTATTTTTTAAATACAACCTTTTTTGAAAGAAATAATGATTAATTAATTAATATAAAAGTAAAATATAACTTAGATGGCCCAAATCAAAACTGAATGCTCCCCTGGGTTGTAAGCCTTCGTCATGTTGAAAAACACAATCCTGCTAGACATTCCAAATGACATAATTGCAGTATTCTTTATTATTCCCATGCTAGCCCTTATGACATTTTGAGAACAAATATTCTCTTTACTTCAGTTCTGATTCGTGATTTATTGAAAAGCATATCGACAACTACATTTTGGAAAGCAAAAACAAAAACTCATAAGAAATGCGCGGAAACATACCCAAGAAAATTGGGACACACATTGTCACGTTGTTTTATTTCTTTATCGTCTTAGCATTTTCGTATTAACATGGATGAACAATACAAATGAAATGAAGAAAAACAAAGTCTCGTTTTAGATAATACAGGTGCCAGATGAGAATTTGGGGGGGGGGGGGGGACAGAGAGATATAGTAATGAAATGGCAATGAAACAGTAATAAAATGAAAATGGAACCACGTATATTGATGATGGTCATCTTCTTGGACTGATAAAAGACGGGTAAAGTATACGATTTGCTCCTTAACATTATAAATAGTTTCAATTTGGTCCCTTATTTTTAAAATGCATACCTTTAATCCTTTAGCCCTAAAATTGTTAGCAAAAAATGATATCATTGAGATTTTAAATGTCCATAAAACATTTTCAAATGCTAACATATAAAGTTTAATTTTCAGAACAACTATAATTGCTACAAGACATCATTATTTAAGTCTAACGATTCTAAAGCTAAAGGACAAAACATATACTTTTGAAAGTTGAGAAACCAAATTGAAATATTTTATAAAGTTATTAGACCAAATGTATAGTTTCACTGAAAGAAGATTGATGTACCATACATATATGTGATTGTATTATCAATTTATAATACCGGTTAGTACTAGTTTTTTTATTTTCTTTTGATGATATATTTTTTTTACATGTCAGAAGTTAACATGTACAAGAATTAAATTTAAGGATTTTAAAATATCGTTTAAAACTTGCTCAATTTGAATGAGATAATGTGGAACTAAAATTATTCTGAAAAGACCCCGACCCGTAAATTATAATATACATGATGTTGTGCCTTTTAATTGAACAAAGTATAAGCGATATGAATGAATGAGATGACAAAAAACAAAATCTCATTTTTTGTTTTGGTACTCATCACGCTAATGAGCGTTCAGATTTAATATAGATGGCGCAGAATTAATTTTTTTATTTTTGTTTTTTTAAAATGTGTCCTTTTTATAGTTGGATAATCCAAAATAAATGTAATATGTTAACTGTAAGTTTTTTAAACTTGATTTTTATTTAAAAATCATTAGTTAAAAATTTTAAATCTAGACTATTAAAACCGTATCTAAATAGTATGGATTTCCACGCAGCAATGAATATCATGGTGCTCATCACTGCGTTGAGCACCGAGCTAGTTCCATATTTAAATCCCCATTACGGATATGTATGTGTACAATATTAATGAAATGATGGAAATGAAATCTCATTTTAAATTCGATCTGTTAGAGAAAATGATTAAAAAACAAAGAAAAGAATAAATGTTAGATATAGTACGTACCCTATGCTTCCAAAGAGGTTAGCATCCAAATATAATCTATTACTAACAACTGCTTGTAAAGAGAATGAACGGACTTATGTGCATGAAAACTAAATAATGAATGGACTTAAAAGAAGAAAAACAAAACAGGTCATGTTATTTGCATATAATATAAAATACACATATACTTCAGCCCCAAAAAAAAAAGCAACAAAGCGTGTCTTACCCATGTTAGAAATGGAGAAAGCAAAAATCCTATAACCATGACATTGCATGTACCATCTAGCTAGTAATTGCCAATAAATCGTGTGTTGCACACGACCATATGAATAATCCATGTAATTAATAGAAAATAATTTAGGTTTTGTTGGAAAGCATAATAGTTCCATTTGTTCAAGATCTTAGCTTTATTTGTTATTTTGGGATTGTAACCACTTGCTGTATATGAGCCCTATCATATGAATTATGAACAATATGAACGAAATGATGAAAAACAAACTTTCATTTTAAAGAAAAATGTCAAAAAGAAAAGAAAACACAAGAGTAGGTGCATACCTGAAAATGAGTTAGCACCTAAATATAATTCTTTCAAAGATGTGGAGTTGCTTATTGATTTTGGAATGCTTCCCTCTAATTGATTAAAACCAACATTGAAGATTTCAAGTAAAGGGAGTTGGTGAAATATTTTTTCGGGCAAATCACCTATAAACAGATAAAAAATATTTGTTAATCAGCTGACTAGGAATTTCATGAATTCACACTTAACCATATAAATGATGAGTGGAGTTGTGTTAATTAGAGGCTTAAAATTATTGTAAAATAATTTACTTTTTATTGGAATGCAATTTAAAAGGGACTCTTCTAATATCAATGGACAATCGAACGGTAAAATTTCTTTCAAAGAAGAAATGCTAAACATTGATTATGTAATTAATTTCACCTATTTAAAATAAATAATCTAATTATTTGTAGCTTTCATATAAATTATTTAATACTTACATGCCTCTAACTTTGAATATGATAAATTCTTGTAGGAAAATTTATTTTTCATTTTTTAAGGACTTAAAATACTTCCGGTTACACCTTTTGGAGACAATATAGTATGAATAATAAATGAATTTTTTTTACCAAAGCACTGTATCATAGAATTTTCACTCCTAAAGCAATTTCGGTTAAGATTTTTGCAGGCAATGTAGGATAAGCATAAATAAAACATAAAAAATTTGTTAAAGTGTATAGTTAAAGGGCTGTATTGCAGTATCCTTTCTTTTAAAGTGGAAATGTTGATGGAGTTGTGTGTGTTACATATATAGACGCAGACACACATACATGTATGTGTATATATATATATATGGAAAACATATAAGATTCCATACACACACACGCACTCACCGTTTTCAGACTATTCGGAATGTTTTATCATTTTTTTAGATTATATTTCCTTTGCATGCTAAAGACCTACTCATTTTTAAAAATAGCACTATTATATAATAAACTAAAATTAGTTTTCAAGAAAGTCATGACTCCTAAATGATAATATACTGTTTTTTATGTAAGGCATGAGGTTTTTCTTTCTCAGCAGGATCAAAGAAGCGTTGAAACCCAACTATAAGTCCTTCTCTACGGGCTCCCATGTTTTTCACTTTCAGATATGTGTGTAAAATTCGTATATCAATTATAAATAAAAATTTTGTTAACGTGCAAAGTTAAGGGATGGTTAGATCAAGCCTACTTGCAAAGGGGTTGTATTGTAGATATACTTTCTCTTAAAGAAGAAATGTTGATGGAGTTGTGTGTGTAATTTTTTATCGTTTTTTTAAACTATATTTCCTTTGCATGTTAAAGACTCGCTCGTTTTTTTTTAAAATAACGCTAACATATAACTAAAAGTATTTTTTTTAAAAAAAAAGACATGAATCTTAAAGGATAACATATATTATGTCTTATGTAAGGCATGAGGCTTTGCTTTCTCAGCAGGATCAATGTGTGATTCGTTGAGAAATTAGGATGATGGGATATAATGAAAATTAGTCACCGACAAGAAAATGCAGCAGAAAATGAAAAACAAGAGGCTACAAGAAAAACAATGAACCCCAACTAGGTCCTTCTCTTTGGCCTCGCATGTTTTTCAATGATTCAATATGTTATCTCAATTTTTGACATTTTTATGAAAATTTTATATAAAAGAAAGCATAGTGATTTTGGGATTGAGAGAAAGAATCAAGTTCTATGTCTTTAGAAGTAATCTAACAACAAAATTTGAAACAATCATATAATGAAAACTCTTACCTTTCAAGTTGCTTCTGCCAATATATAGCCACTGAAGTTTGGTCAAATTTCCAAACTCACTTGGAACGGTTCCTGGATTGAATTTGTTATCCCCCAACCTCAAGTCTGCCAATTCCTTGCATTGATGCCAATTGGAGGGCATCTTCCCTGACAAATCATTTTTATGGACATATAATCTTTCAAGTTTCGGAAGCCCAAAACACAAATTTGTTGGCAGACTGCCACTCAAATTATTGTAGTCAAGCTCAATGTGTTGTCGCATCAAACTATTAAATATAGAGGTTGGTATAGAGCTCGAAAGCTGATTATTTGAAAGGTATATCCTCTGTAGCCGTTGAAGATCACCAATCTCATTTGGAATGGCCCCTTCAAATATCAAATGATAAGCAATACGTCAATGTCAACTTTCGTAGCATCTACATTAAGTATCATAAGCCATAAATTGTAATAGCAAGACCATCAAGTTCGCTGTTGAAATATTTAATATGCATGTATTTTTTGTATTCATGTTTACAATATGACATTTCCCAATCCAGGGTATCATTTTATGTCAACATTTTTGTCAATTTGCTACCAGCTAAATAATTTCCTGCATATGGACAAGTGAAGATCAAATCCATAGGCCAGTCGTTGGCGGAAAAAAAAAAGTCCGTAGACCAGTCAAGATTATTGGTGTAGCTGATAGAAACGTGTTCAAAGAACGTTGCTAATGTAATACGAGATCCATAATAAAAAATATCATTTTTGTGAGTATTGTTGGTAGAGTCATAAGACATGTCCTAATTATTTTCAACTTCTAAAATCCAACTCACCTAAACTTCTATTTCACAAATAGAGAAAAAAATAATATCGTCAATATAAAATGTAAAAAAAAAAAAATAGTATCCTCAAAAACTGTTTGGTAAGTAATGACAAAAACAATTCCTTCCATTCATTCGAGATCCGGGGGTTGTAAGCCTTTATTATTTTAAAAAGCAACCCTTCTAGATATTCTAACTACATCAGTGGTAATACCTGATTTATTGAAAAGAATATTGATAAATATTAAAAAACTGATAAAAATACACAAATTAAAGATACCAAAAAATGGGGACCAAAACAAACACATGATCATTGAGGGTTTATAAATGACTTAGTGGCAGTATTTCATATGTCCATGCTGGCTCCTACGAAATTTTGAATGCATTGTGGAATAGGAACAAATATTTTATCTACTTTTCATGATCCGTTGAAAAGAATATCGATAAAAACTGATAAGAAACGCAGAAAGGAACCCCAAAAAAATAGGGTTAAACTAAAAACCCACATGACAGAGAGGTCGGCTTTATACCCTGCTAACTAATAATAGACTAGTTTATGGCAAAACACAAATATAAATATAAAAAATAATCCAAACATACCTGACAAACTGTTATAAGACAGCCATAGCTGCTCAAGTGAAGACAAGTTGGCAATTGTTTGGGGAGTCGCTCCAGAAAGTTTATTGTTTGAAAGTTGTAAAACCTTCAAGTGCTTTAGACTTCCTATCTCAGGCGGAATGTTACCTTCAATGATATTAGATTTCCAATCCAAAGTTCAATTACGAGAATGAAGGATCATTGGTAAAGGGAAAGGAACGGAAAATAAAAAGAACAGAAGCCTGTATGCCCTCAAAGTTCAATATCAAGCCATCAATTTGATAACATCGATAGTTCATATTCCGACCGTGAGTTTTTTTTTTTTTAAACAACGACTTGTTCATTTATGGTATTTTTATTTGTAATACGTAATATACGTGAGAAAAATTATTTTTTAAATACAATTTTTTGAAAGAAATAATGATTAATTAATTAATATAAAAGTAAAATATAACTTAGATGGCCCAAATCAAAACTGAATGCTCCCCTGGGTTGTAAGCCTTCGTCATGTTGAAAAACACAATCCTGCTAGACATTCCAAATGACATAATTGCAGTATTCTTTATTATTCCCATGCTAGCCCTTATGACATTTTGAGAACAAATATTCTCTTTACTTCAGTTCTGATTCGTGATTTATTGAAAAGCATATCGACAACTACATTTTGGAAAGCAAAAACAAAAACTCATAAGAAATGCGCGGAAACATACCCAAGAAAATTGGGACACACATTGTCACGTTGTTTTATTTCTTTATCGTCTTAGCATTTTCCTCTTAACATGGATGAACAATACAAATGAAATGAAGAAAAACAAAGTCTCGTTTTAGATAATACAGGTGCCAGATGAGAATTTGGGGGGGGGGGGGACAGAGAGATATAGTAATCAAATGACAATGAAACAGTAATAAAATGAAAATGGAACCACGTATATTGATGGTGGTCATCTTCTTGGACTGATAAAAGACGGGTAAAGTATACGATTTGTTCCTTAACATTATAAATAGTTTCAATTTGGTCCCTTAGTTTTAAAATGCATACCTTTAATCCTTTAGCCCTAAAATTGTTAGCAAAAAATGATATCATTGAGATTTTAAATGTTCATAAAACATTTTCAAATGCTAACATATAAAGTTTAATTTTCAGAACAACTATAATTGCTACAAGACATCATCATTTAAGTCTAACGATTCTAAAGCTAAAGGACAAGACATGTACTTTTGAAAGTTGAGAAACCAAATTGAAATATTTTATAAAGTTATTAGACCAAATGTATATTTTGACTGAAAGAAGATTGATGTACCATACATATATGTGATTGTATTATCAATTTATAATACCGGTTAGTACTAGTTTGTTTTTTCTTTTGATGATTTTTTTTTTACATGTCAGAAGTTAACTTGTACAAGAATTAAATTTAAGGATTTTAAAATATCGTTTAAAACTTGCTCAATTTGAATGAGATAATGTGGAACTAAAATTATTTTGAAAAGACCCCGACCCTTAAATTATAATATACATGATGTTGTGCCTTTTAATTGAACAAAGTATAAGCGATATGAATGAATGAGATGACAAAAAACAAAATCTCATTTTTGTTTTATTCTCCAAGAGAAAATGATCTAAAATGAAAAATAAAAGGTCGTTTTGTGATATGATCCTTTGATGCTTTGGTATTGTAAATCACTAACTATATTTTCCCGGAACTAGTTTTGCTACTCATCACACTAATGAGCGTTCAGATTTAATATAGATGGCGCAGAATTAATTTTTTTATTTCTGTTTTTTTAAATGTGTTCTTTTTATAGTTGGATAATCCAAAATAAATGTAATATTTTAACCGTAATTTTTTTAAACGTGATTTTTATTTAAAAATCATTAGTTAAAAATTCTAAATCTAGACTATTAAAACCGTATCTAAATAGTACGGATTTCACCGTAGTGATGAATATCATGGTGCTCATTACTGCGATGAGCACTGAGCTAGTTCCATATTTAAATCCCCATTACAGATATGTATATGTACAATATTAATGAAATGATGGAAATGAAATCTCATTTTAAATTCGATCTGTTTAAGAAAATGATTGAAAAACAAAGAAAAGAATAAAAGTTAGATATAGTACCCTATGCTTCCAAAGAGGTTGGCATCCAAATATAATCTATTACTAACATCTGCTTGTAAAGAGAATGAACGGACTTATGTGCATGAAAACTAAATAATGAATGAACTTAAAAGAAGAAAAACAAAACAGGTCATGTTATTTGCATATAATATAATATACACATATACTTCTGCCCAAAAAAAAACAACAACTAAGCGTGTCTTACCAATGTTAGAAAGGGAGAAAGCAAATATCTTATAACCATAACATTGCATGTACCTTCTAGCTAGTAATTGCCAATAAATCGTTTGCTACACAACCATATGAATAATCCATGTAATTAATAGAAAATAATTTAGGTTTTGTTGGAAAGCATAATAGTTCCATTTGTTCAAGATCTTAGCTTTATTCGTTATTTTGAGATTGTAACCACTAGCTGTATATGAACCCTATCATATGAATTATGAACAATATGAACGAAATGATGAAAAACAAACTTTCATTTTAGAGAAAAATATTAAAAAGAAAAGAAAACACAAAAGTAGTTGCATACCTGAAAATGAGTTAGCACCTAAATATAATTCTTTCAAAGATGTGGAGTTGCTTATTGATTTTGGAATACTTCCCTCTAATTGATTAAAACCAACATCGAAGATTTCAAGTAAAGGGAGATGATGAAACATTTTTTCGGGCAAATCACCTATAACCAGATAAAAAATATTTGTTAATCAGCTGACTAGGAATTTCATGAATTCACACTTAACCATATAAATGATGAGTGGTGTTGTGTTAATTAGAGGATTGAAATTATTATAAAATATTTTAGTTTTTATTGGAATGCAATATAAAAGGGACTCTTCCAATATCAATGGACAATCGAACGGTAAAATTTCTTTCAAAGAAGAAATGCCAAAGATTGATTGTGTAATTAATTTCACCCATTTAAAATAAACAATCAAATTATTTGTAGCTTTCATATAAATTATTTAATACTTACAAGGCTCTAACCTTGAATATGATAAATTCTTGTAGGAAAATTTAGTTTTCATTTTTTGAGGACTTAAAATACTTCCGGTTACCCCTTGTGGAGAGAATATAGTATGAATAATAAATGAATTTTTTTTACCAAAGCACTGTATACTAGAATTTTCACTCCTAAAGCAATTTCGGTTAAGATTTTTGCAGGCAATGTAGGATAAGCATAAATAAAAAATAAAAAATTTGTTAAAGTTTAAAGTAAAAGGGCTGTATTGCAGTATCCTTTCTTTTAAAGTGGAAATGTTGATGGAGTTGTGTGTGTGTTACATATATTGACACACACACATGTGTATATATATATATGGAATACATATAAGATTCCACACACACGCACACGCACACACCGTTTTCAGACTATTCGGAATGTTTTATCATTTTTTTTAGATTTTATTTCCTTTGCATTCTAAAGACCTACTCATTTTTAAAAATAGCACTATTATATAATTAACTAAAATTATTTTTCAAGAAAGTCATGACTCCTAAATGATAATATACTGTTTTTTATGTAAGGCATGAGGTTTTTCTTTCTCAGCAGGATCAAAGAAGCGTTGAAACCCAACTATAAGTCCTTCTCTACGGGCTCCCGTGTTTTTCACTTTCAGATATGTGTGTAAAAATCATATATGAATAATAAATAAAAATTTTGTTAACGTGCAAAGTTAAGGGATGGTTAGATCAAGCCTACTTGCAAAGGGGTTGTATTTCAGATATACTTTCTCTTAAAGAAGAAATGTTGATGGAGTTGTGTGTGTAATTTTTTTTACCGTTTTTTTAAACTCTATTTCCTTTGCATGTTAAAGACTCGCTCGTTTTTTAAAATAACGCTAACATATAACTACAAGTATTTTTTCGTAAGAAAAAAATGATTCTTAAAGGATATCATATATTATGTCTTATGTAAGGCATGAGGCTTTGCTTTCTCAGCAGGATCAATGTGTGATTCGTTGAGAAATTCAGATGATAGGATATAATGAAAATTAGTCACCGGCAAGAAAATGCAGCCGAAAATGAAAAACAAGAGGCTACAAGAAAAACATTGAACCCCAACTAGGTCCTTTTCTTTGGCCTCGCATGTATTTCAATGATTCAATATTTTATCTCAATTTTTGACATTTTTATGAAAATTTTATATAAAAGAAAGCATAGTGATTTTGGGATTGAGAGAAAGAATCAAGTTCTATGTCTTTAGAAGTAATCTAACAACAAAATTTGAAACAATCATATAATGAAAACTCTTACCTTTCAAGTTGCTTCTGCCAATATATAGCCACTGAAGTTTGGTCAAATTTCCAAACTCACTTGGAACGGTTCCTGGATTGAATTTGTTATCCCCCAACCTCAAGTCTGCCAATTCCTTGCATTGATGCCAATTGGAGGGCATCTTCCCTGACAAATCATTTTTATGGACATATAATCTTTCAAGTTTCGGAAGCCCAAAACACAAATTTGTTGGCAGACTGCCACTCAAATTATTGTAGTCAAGCTCAATGTGTTGTCGCATCAAACTATTAAATATAGAGGTTGGTATAGAGCTCGAAAGCTGATTATTTGAAAGGTATATCCTCTGTAGCCGTTGAAGATCACCAATCTCATTTGGAATGGCCCCTTCAAATATCAAATGATAAGCAATACGTCAATGTCAACTTTCCTACAAAATTTTGAATGCATTGTGGAATAGGAACAAATATTCTATCTACTTTTCATGATCCGTTGAAAAGAATATCGATAAAAACTGATAAGAAAGGCAGAAAGGAACCCCAAAAAATAGGGTTAAACTAAAAACCCACATGACAGAGAGGTCGGCTTTATACCCTGCTAACTAATAATAGACTAGTTTATGGCAAAACACAAATATAAACATAAAAAATAATCCAAACATACCTGACAAACTGTTATAAGACAGCCATAGCTGCTCAAGTGAAGACAAGTTGGCAATTGTTTGGGGAGTCGCTCCAGAAAGTTTATTGTTTGAAAGTTGTAAAACCTTCAAGTGCTTTAGACTTCCTATCTCAGGCGGAATGTTACCTTCAATGATATTAGATTTCCGATCCAAAGTTCAATTACGAGAATGAAGGATCATTTGTAAAGGGAAAGGACGGAAAATAAAAAGAACTGAAGCCTGTATGCCCTCAAAGTTCAATATCAAGTCATCAATTTGATAACATCGATAGTTCATATGCGGACCGTGAGTTTTTTTTTTTTTTTAAACAACTACTTGTTCATTTATGGTATTTTTATTTGTAATACGTAATATACGTAAGAAAAATTATTTTTTAAATACAATCTTTTTTGAAAATAATGATTAATTAATTAATATAAAAGTAAAATATAACTTAGATGGCCCAAATCAAAACTGAATGCTCCCCTGGGTTGTAAGCCTTCGTCATGTTGAAAAACACAATCCTGCTAGACATTCCAAATGACATAATTGCAGTATTCTTTATTATTCCCATGCTAGACATTCGTGATTCTTTATTAGTACTAGTTTTTTTTTTTCTTTTGATGATTTTTTTTTACATGTCAGAAGTTAACATGTACAAGAATTAAATTTAAGGATTTTAAAATATCGTTTAAAAACTTGCTCAATTTGAATGAGATAATGTGGAACTAAAATTATTTTGAAAAGACCCCGACCCTTAAATTATAATATACATGATGTTGTGCCTTTTAATTGAACAAAGTATAAGCGATATGAATGAATGAGATCACAACAAAACAAAATCTCATTTTTGTTTTATTCTCCTAGAGAAAATGATCTAAAAGGAAAAATAAAAGATCGTTTTGTGATTTGATACTTTGATGCTTTGGTATTGTAAATCACTAACTATATTTTTCCGGAACTAGTTTTGGTACTCATCACACTAATGAGCGTTCAGATTTAATATAGATGGTGCAGAATTAATTTTTTTATTTTTGTTTTTTTTAAAATGTGTTCTTTTTATAGTTGGATAATCCAAAATAAATGTAATATTTTAACTGTAAGTTTTTTAAACATGATTTTCATTTAAAATTTATTAGTTAAAAATTTTAAATCTAGACTATTAAAACCGTATCTAAATAGTATGGATTTCACCGCAGTGATGAATATCATGGTGCTCATGACTCCGATGAGCACTGAGCTAGTTCCGTATTTAAATCCCCATTACGGATGTGTATATGTACAATATTTATGAAATGATGGAAATGAAATCTCATTTTAAATTTGATCTGTTAAAGAAAATGATTAGAAACAAAGAAAAGAATAAAAGTTATATATTGTACCCTATGCTTCCAAAGAGGTTGGCATCCAAATATAATCTATTACTAACAACTGCTTGTAAAGAAAATGAACGGACTTATGTGCATGAAAACTAAATAATGAATGGACTTAAAAGAAGAAAAATAATCCTGGTCATGTTATTTGCATATAATATAATATACACATATACTTCAGCCCAAAAAAAAAACACAACAAAGCGTGTCTTACCAATGTTAGAAAGGGAGAAAGCAAATATCTTATAACCATGACATTGCATGTACCTTCTAGCTAGTAATTGCCAATAAATCGTTTGCTACACACAACCATATGAATAATCCATGTAATTAATAGAAAATAATTTAGGTTTTGTTGGGAAGCATAATAGTTCCATTTGTTCAAGATCTTAGCTTTATTTGTTATTTTGGGATTGTAACCACTAGCTGTATATGAGCCCTGTCATATGAATTATGAACAATATGAACGAAATGATGAAAAACAAACTTTCATTTTAGAGAAAAATATTAAAAGGAAAAGAAAACACAAAAGTAGGTGCATACCTGAAAATGAGTTTGCACCTAAATATAATTCTTTCAGAGATGTGGAGTTGCTTATTGATTTTGGAATGCTTCCCTCTAATTGATTAAAACCAACATCGAAGATTTCAAGTAAAGGGAGATGATGAAACATTTTTTCGGGCAAATCACCTATAAACAGATAAAAAATATTTGTTAATCAGTTGACTAGGAATTTCATGAATTCACACTTAACCAATAAATGATGAGTGGAGTTGTGTTAATTAGAGGCTTAAAATTATTATAAAATAATTTAGTTTTTATTGGAATGCAATATAAAAGGGACTCTTCCAATATCAATGGACAATGGAACCGTAAAATTTCTTTCAAAGAAGAAATGCTAAAGATTGATTATGTAGTTAATTTCACCCATTTAAAATAAACAATCAAAATCTTTGTAGCTTTCATATAAATTATTTAATACTTACAAGTCTCTAACTTTGAATATGATAAATTCTTGTAGGAAAATTTAGTTTTCATTTTTTAAGGACTTAAAATACTTCCGGTTACACCTTTTGGAGATAATATAGTATGAATAATAAATGAATTTTTTTTACCAAAGCACTGTATACTAGAATTTTCACTCCTAAAGCAATTTCGGTTAAAATTTTTGCAGGCAATGTAGGATAAGCATAAATAAAAAATAAAAATTTTGTTAAAGTGTAAAGTTAAAGGGCTCTATTGCAGTATCCTTTCTTTTAAAGTGGAAATGTTGGGGGAGGTGTGTGTGTTACACACACACACACACATATATATATAGACACACAGATACACACATACATGTGTGTGTGTGAGTGTGTGTGTGTGTATTTATATGGAATACATATAAGATTCCATACACACACGCACGCACACGCCATTTTCAGACTATTCGGAATGTTTATCATTTTTTTTAGATTATATTTCCTTTGCATGCTAAAGACCTACTAATTTTTAAAGTTAGCACTATTATATAATTAGCTAAAATTATTTTTCAAAAAAGTCATGACTCCTAAATGATAATATGCTAAAGAAAGCATGTGTTCACTTTGGGATTAAAAGAAAGCATCAAGTTCCATGTCTTTAAAAGTTACCCAACAAAATTATTATTCATTAAATTTGCACTGCAAATTCGTGATTTATCAAAATACTGGGAACATGATAAAGAAAAAAAGATCACATAACTATTCTTACCTTGCAAATTACTGCTATGAAGATATAGCCACTGAAGTTGCATTTTTAATATCTATTTGTTCGTTTTTAAATGCATAACTATTTTTAATATCTATTTGTTCATTTTTAGTATTTTCATTTGTCATAAGTAATATACATAAAAAATATTAATTTTTAAATACAATCTTTTTGGGAAGAAATAATAATAAATTAATTAATTAATAATAAAACTAAAACATAATTGAGATGGCCCAAGTCAAAACTGAATGCTCCAGATCCGAGGGTTGTAAACCTTCATCATTTTGAAAAAAAAAAAATCTTTCTAGACATTCCAAATGACATAATAGCAGTATTCTTTATTATTCCCATGCTAGCTCTTATGACATTTTGAGAACAAATATTCTCCCCCCTTCAGTTCTAATTCGTGATTTATTGAAAAGAATACCGACGACTACATTTTTTTTAAAAACAGAAACTTGTGAGAAATGAAACCACGCATAATGATGGTGGTCATCTTCTAGGAGTAAAAAGGATTGACAGACCATACATATATGTGATTGTATTATCAATTTATAATACTAGTAAATACTGGTTTTTTTACTTTTTATGATATATCTTTTTCATGTCAGAAGTTAATATGTGCAAGACTTAAATCTAAAGATTTTAAAATATCGTTTAAAACTTGCCCATTTTGAATGAGATAATATAGAACTACAATTGTTTTAAAAAGACCCCGACCCTTAAATTATAATATATATTATTTTTTCAGGAGAGGCATGCGGGGCATATTATATATGATGGCGTGCCTTTTAATTGAACAGAGTATAAGTGATACGAATGAATGAAATGACAAAAAACAAAATCTCTTTTTTTGTGTGTTTTATTCTACTAGAGAAAATGATCTAAAAGGAAAAATAAAAGATAAATCATAGTACCATCATTTCGTAATTTGATCTTTTGATATTTTGGGATTGTAAATTACTAACTATATTTAAACCCCATTACCGATATGTATATGTACAATATTAAAGTAATGATGGAAATAAAATCTCATTTTAAATTTGATCTATTAGAGAAAATGATGAAAAAAAATAAAGAAAGGAATAAAAATAAGATATAGTAATCCCATGCTTCTAAAGAGGTTGGCATCCAAACATTATCTATTAGCAACAGCTGCTTGTAAAGAGAATGAACGGACTTATATGCACTGAAAAAAAATAAAGAAAGGAATAAAAATAAGATATAGTAATCCCATGCTTCTAAAGAGGTTGGCATCCAAACATTATCTATTAGCAACAGCTGCTTGTAAAGAGAATGAACGGACTTATATGCACTGAAAAAAAATAATGAATGGACTTAAAAGAAGGAATATAAAACAAATTATTAAAAACAAGGGAAAAACAAAGGCTAGTTTTTTCCCCCCATGTTTCGCTTTGCAGAATTATTAAAAAGAAACAAACTAGTTGGATTTAAAAGTATTCCTAAATATATAAACAGCTAATTATAAAATGACCCAATAAAGAGATAAGATATCATTAGTGAAAGTTAAAAGTACTCGAACCTTCGAATGTCGTGTTGTAACCATAAAATTATTTGTTAATACTGCTAAGATTATTTATCTAAAATCATGTTCAGAGCACTGAATCATCATCTTAATCATTTTAATTAGCCACTACCCTTGAATGATTTATATGAATTATTTTTCTTGGATCGATGTGAGACTCGCTGACAAATTCGAATGGATTGTCTCTATATTAGAAAAGGAAAACTAAAAGCTTGCAATTACAGAGAAAATATAGGGGAAAATGAAAAATTAGAAAAAAAAAAAAAGGGGATAATGAAAAATTAGAAGCTAGAAAAAGCACTGAAATCCCGGCCAATCCTTTTTGTCATCCTTATCAGGTTATTTTTTATGGGGCTTCCTGTTTTTTAATGATTCAATATTTTACTTGGATTTTTGAAGATTTTCATTTTAAGCAGGTTATGACCCGATATGTGTGAAAATTATAACATGAACTAAATGATGGAAAACAAAATCTCGGTTCAAATTTATTTCTATTCCAGAGGAATAAATTTTGAGAACAAATATTTATCTACTTCAGTTCTAATTCATGATTTATTTAAAAGAATATTGACGACTACATCTTTAAAAAACAAACGCTGATAAGAAATGTCTCAAAAAAATTGGGACAAAACCAAACACATGATGATTGAGGGTTTAACTTATATCCTGATAATTAAATAGACTAGTTTTGAGCAAACACAAATATAAATATTAAAAAAAAATCTAAACATACCTGACAAACTATTATAAGACAACCATAACAGTTCAAGTGAAGACAAGTTGGAAATTGTTTGGGGAATTTCCCCTGAAAGCTTGTTCCTTGAAAGTTGTAACTTCTTCAAGTGCTTTAGACTTCCTATCTTCGGTGGAATGGTACCTTCAATGATATTAGAATTCCAATCTAAGGTCTCCAACCTTGATAGATTGATCAAAGATGATGGAATAAATCCATTGAAACTGTTATTTTGAAAACTTAAGTGTTCAAGCATAGATAAACGCCCTATCCATGTTGGAACTTGTCCATAAAAGTCATTATAGCTCAAGTTGAGTAGTCTCAATCGACGTAACTGAACTAACTCTTGAGGGATATGACCATGAAAGTTGTTTTCGCTGAGATCAAGTTCAACAAGGAATGAGAGATTTCCCAGTTGCGGAGATATGGTGCCCTTAAGATCCATGCCACCAAGATTCAATGATTGAACCCTTCCATAACGAGTATTACAGGTGACACCAACCCAACTGCAAGGAAAAGAAGAGACAAACCAATCAGCTAAGGAATTGTATGGATCCAAAGTGATATAGGATTTAAGGGAAAGAAGGGCAGATATGTCGGTAGTGATGTTTGTCTGAGTAGCTAAGCTGGTCATGAAGCAATGAAGTAAGAGAAGGAAAACAAAGGCTAGAGATTTTTCCATGTTTTGCCTAGCGGACATATCGAATTTGCAAGTGTTGTGCATCAACAATGAACAGACACGTCAATTTATACTTCTCCAATTCTAAATCAAAGTCAAGGCCAGCATGTTCAATTTCAAATTGCAAAATAACGCGTGACCCTAAGTAATGTTGTCTGGGGCCCTTTTATATGTCCCTTAGTAATAATAATGAACAGATTATTCAGATTTAAGAATATGCATAAATATAAACAACTAATTACAAATGACCCAAGAGAGAAATCACCGATGTTTGGTAGAAGTCAAAAGTACACTTACCTTTTAGTACCGTGTGGTCCTAAAGTAGTGTTGTATATGGGACCCTTTTATGTGATTTTCTGAAATAAAATAGGAAAAAGGTATTTTCACTAGGATAAATAGTAAATATACTCATTATGTCTGAATTATTTTCATTAGGCCCCTTTTATACCGTGGCACATAGTAACTATAAAATAAATCATAATATCTATGACCTACATATTATAATATTCTCATTTTATAAATGATTTAAAAGTAGTCTATTTTGGTAAAATTTATATATTAATATTAACAACAGCAATAAGATTTTTCTTCAAACTACGTGTTTATACAAACACTGACACACATATTTAATTAGCTCCTGACAAGGAAAATTGCTTGTTGATGGGAAAGTAGGAAAAATATATTGGCGTGCTTGACTCGTAATCACAGTCTATTCGACAAGGAACAACTTCATTTACTTATGTTTGTTAAAACTTTATATTGATAATAATGGAGGGTTTTTGAGTCTAAAAGACTGAGTCTTGATAATTACGATTCTATGTAAGATTCCTTTCCAAATTAATTCCTTCTATGTATAAGGAGTCATTTTTCCCAAATTTTATTTTTAGGTAGATATATTTTAATAATTATATTTTTTTTATATTTTTATGTTATAATATTACTTATACTAATATCATATAAATTTACTACATTCTTTGATGAACTCATTCAAGAACATATCTAATTTTCTATCAAATTAAATCGAGTATATTTAGCTGTATGTATCGTAAATATATGTTTATTTTATCGTTTCTCTTGGGGTTTTAATTTATTTTTTATAATTTAAAATCAAATAATTTTGTTTTCTATGTATTTTAAAATACTATGCTTATATTCTTTAGCTTTCCCAAATTGATATTTATATATATATATATTTCCAATCAAATTTTATAAGAATTACCGTATAAACACGAGCGAACAATAATGAATATATAAATGATTAGCTAATTAATGATTTGTTCATTTTTGAATTTTGGATAAATAAGATATTTATTCAGAAAAAATTTTAAATAATAAAAAAATGATAAATCAGATGATGACTTGCAGTTATTGTCGTTATCTTCATCTTGTTTCGTCATATAAAGAAAAGCAGAGCTTAAATAATACTTTTAATAAAGTAACTTTTTTTTTTACACTGTCAGTAAAGTACTACTCCTTGAGATCTTAATATAAGATCTATTTAACTAATTTGAGTAAATTAAAAAAATTAAATAAGTTAGTTAATTATAAGAAATATGACATGATATATTTTTTCTAAAATACCATAACTATCTTTCTTAATATCCTCTCACTCTCTTCTACTTTTTTCTTTTGGGTAAAACTCACAGTATCTTCAAGCTACTTTGAACTTGAAACTAATTTCTATCAAGCCGAAAGCATTAAGGTTAAAGTCATCCCAATAAATATGCTTTTTAGGATTCAAATCTGTATTATAGTTGAAGGAGCATGGTAATTTATCGTATTTTAAAATATTATCTTTATATTCTTTAGCTTTCCCAAATTGATATATATCCAATCAAATTTTATAAGAATTACCGTCTCAAGACGACCTAACAATAATAAATATATAAATGATTAGCTAGTGATTTATTCAGTTTTGAGATTTGGATAAATAAGATATTTAAAAAAATTTTAAATAATAAAAATAGTAATAAATCAGATGACTTGTTTTGTCGTTATCTCCATCTTCTTTCCTTCATATAAAGTAAAGTGAAGTTTAAAGAATACTTTTAATAAAGTGCTTTTAATAAAGTACTTAAATAGTTTAATGGATTAATGATGTTTATAGTTAAATAATATGCATGATTACCAGCACCATCAATTATATTACTAAATATTTTTAGACTTTATATTTCTACAATTTAGGGGATTAAGTTCACAACAACCATCTTTTCAGGGACTCATGCCATTCTCTCCCTTTGATTTTCGGGATGCAGTTCCACATAAGAAATATATTCACAAGGAAATCTCATAACAACTAAACAGCTTGTAATTATAAGTTCTAAGATAAGAAATGACAACAGGTTTCAATTACTTACTTGTTATTGAGACTTTTTAGTAATTATCTTTTTTTTAAGGATTTTACTGTAGTTGTCCCTTGATTTTTCTATATATCAATCATCAGATGCATTGTTTTGTAATAGTACATTCATTTGCATATTATTTTTTATAACTCTCATATTAAGAAGACCCTCAATCGTAAGATGAACATGATGTTTCTTTGCAAACAATGTCCCCAGTTGCAAGTGTTTAAATAAAAGAAAACAAAGAATGATAAGAAAAAGAGATTAAAAAGAAATCGAAAATTCATGAGTTAGGGATAAACATGATGTAATTAATATTGTAAGAAGAAACAGATTCATTTACTTATGTGTTAAAATTTTCGATCGGTAATAATTGAGAATTTTTTTAGTCTAAAAACATACCGTAAAAAAGAATAAAAGCAAAGGTGCGCATATTTTTTGTTGAGTCTAAAAAGCTGAAAATTGCATAATAATCTTAATTTTAAATATAAAGTAACACTCATTTAATCTCTCTTTAAAAGAGGAATTCAATAGATGACCATAAAAACAACATAACATTATTTGATTTTTTTTTTGTTGGAAAATTAGTAAAAATCCTACATATTGGTTTCAAAGAATTTTTTAGTCTAAGAACATACCATAAAAAGAGGAATGCAATTGCACACAGCAGATGGAAAAATTAGTAAAAAATCCTACATATTGGAATACTTGCACTTGTATAATTTTAGGTCCTTTTGGCCAATTAAAATTTCAAACAGGGTTTTTGACCAATTTTTCCTTTTTTTTTTGTTTGGTCTCCTGAACATTATTTGATTTGATGAAATGAAAATATTGCATAGAAAACAGACAATATATAATCTAATCTAAATCCCTGATATTGGTTTCAAAAAAAAATCCAACATGTTTCCGCCTAAACAAATTCAAGAATTTAAAGAATATGTTTTTCGAAGAATTTAAGGGACTTGTAAATTTATTTAAAACATGTGGAAATTTCTAATAAGTTATAACAATAAAGAGATAAAGATATTATTGGCAAAGCGATGGAGAATATCAAAACTAACAAAAACTCTTAGAATAATTATGGAGATTGTTATAAAAGATAATTATGAAGGTTAAAATAATTGATTAAATGCTAATTTTAATTATGAAATTTTCTCTTTTTAAATAAAGAGGATTCCTCCATTTACATGTGTAGGCACATGAATTGACTTGTGAGCGATGCAAGGATGCAATAACTACATAAAAATCAAAAGCACATTTGCCTCTTTTTTTTCCCCTTCCTACACCATTCTCCTATTAGAAGCAATCATATTTAAAATACTGTTGGCATTAAATATGGACACCTCTCACGGTAGGATTTACACTTGCCATTTAATACTGCATAAATCCTGCATGACCCTAAGCAGTATTGTATGGAGCCCTTTTATATTATGTCACTGAGAACCCAAAATGATTTTCCGGGAAAGAAAACCGAAAAAGTATTTCTTAGAAATGCGCCACACTTCAATGTTAGTTGAAAAAAGTATTTTTATAATAATAATAATTATTATAGTAACTTGATTTTCAGTCCGTTTTTATCTCTCCAAAGATGCGAGACAATGCCCCCCAATTTTGTATCGTGGAAACTTTAATGTTTGGATGGAGAGAAAATGAGAGAGGAAGGAAAATTAGGAAGAAAAATAGGGAGAGTAGTTTTTTCCCTGTTTGGATGAGGGAAGAAAAGTGGGAGAAAAGAAAAATTGGGAAAGAAATGAGGTGGGTCCCACAACTCATTTTCCTCCCAACTTTTCTCTCTCTATATGAAGAGAAAATAAGAAGAAAACATATTTTTTCTCTCTACCTATACATATGCTTTTTCAGCAAATAATACCTATTTATTTTTTTTATTTTTTCATTTTATTTATTATTATCAAGTCTTTTTTCTGTGTTTGCTTGATTGAAAAATAAAATAACTAAAATTGGAAAAACCCTTCTAAAATGAACTGAAAGAAAAAACAAGAAGAGTTGTTGTTTTGGTTTTTTTAGCATTACATTACACAAAATGTTATTTATTTATTTTCTTTTTTTTCAAAAATTATTTGATATTAAAATATAATAACATGATAATATATATTTATCAAATAATTTGATTTTAAATTATATGATTATGTTTATGTAAATATGGTTTTTCATTATGATATTTAATTTGATTTTAATCAAGATATATTTTGATATAACAGAAAGGATATTTTAGTCCTTAATATATTTACTTATTTTCTTTCCTTTCTATTTTCTCTTGTCCATCCAAACATGAGAGGTGATAATATTTTCTCTTCTTTCCATTTTCTCTCCTCTCATTTTCTTTCCTCTCAACTTTTCTTCCCATCCAAATAGAGGTTAAGATTTTGTTAGACTTAATTAATAACTCTGATTTGAATGATATGAGTCTGAGCCATGGAAAATCTTTGTTAAAGAGGCAAGTCACTTAGAGATTAACAGACCTAAAAGAATTTAAATTTATTACAAGGATCTTAAAACTCTAATTTATATTAACAGACCAAAACCTAAGATGTAAATGGGTAATTACTAAATTGCCCTCTACTGAACGTAAAAACTTGGCCCTTTTTTATTTGTTTATTTTTTTCCTTATCGTCTTCTCGTTTATCCAATCTCCAATTATTA